AAATATTGAAATAACACGTTTTTTACGCTATTTTTTGTTATTTCATGCTATTTTGCCCTACTCTGCGCTATATTTCTGTAACGACATTTAAACAAAAAAAAAATATTAAAAAAACTTGTTACGAATTAGAGTTATATTTTTAAATGATAGCTAAAAACTAAAAATTTAGATAGTGATTTCAAATTAAAAGTTTGAAAATGCAAAGTGCTAAGTTGAATAGTGCAATATATATCGGTCCAAGTCTATTATGTCATTATACTTTTTGGTATTTGACATTTAAATTTAATAATAAAAAGTTCAGATCAAGTAGTTAGAATTAAATTGTAATTAAATTAAAAAATTAATTACAATGTATATGTTTAAAAATAAATTATGACTTATCTTATTATATTTTCGTTGTTTGTTTTTATTTTTTAGTATATTCACTTTATTATTTAAATATTCATATTATGATCTTTAAATTAAACATTTGTAAGAAATAATTTTTAGATGTTATTTGAGTTCATTCAAATATTATGATAATTTTTAGAATCAACCATCTAGTTTTATTATACACAAATATATATATATATATATATATATATATATATATATATAATATTTCTATAAAAATATTTTTTTATACTCAAATAGCTTACGCAACACGCAACGCTATTTACGTTATGCAATATAAATACCAAAATACGACGCATTACGCTATACGCGTTTTAAAACAGTGGTTCTAATATAGATCATGCTCTGGGGCATGTAGAGGAACACATTTGTTCCCTGAACTCAGCAACTATATGTACTGGAGTGTAAATTCTAATAAGATCTGCGATAAAGATATGATGGATAACTTGACTGATAGTGACGCAATTGGACCATAGTGGTGCTACACATGGCCATTGGGCCTTAACAGGTCGGCGAGCCATAGATAAGGAATTGGTTCGGCCTGAAAAAAATGCGGTTCCGGTTTTAAAATCCGGTGGACCAGACTACCAATTTTTTTTCTTTAACTACCAAAAAGTGTTGTAATATTTTAATTAAGTTAACTACGTATTCTTCACTTTAGAAATTAAAGTCTCGTAATCCGCTTACCTTGCTTATTTTTGCGAGTGGAATGTGTGGTAATGTTTCTAATATTTAGTCGCCTCTGCCGTCATCCTCAACGCTCATAGGAGCACGTCGGATCAAGTTCCTTATTGGTAATTAATCACCCGACTCTTTGGGGTATTCAAATCTAGTGTTTTACTTTATTCTAGTGTAGAGTTAATCAAAATCGTGTTTCGTCTTCAACCATTTATTCTACATTTTACTCTACGTGGAATATTCTCTAATTATTATTTTTATTTTCGATCAATCTAAGAGTGCAATATTATTTTTCATAATAATATATAAGTACTATTCAATTGTATAATAAACTTAGTATTGTATAAGTAAATCTAGGTTTTTTAAAAAACAGTGGCTCCTAAGCACTGCATTGATAGGCAAGCATGCAGGGAGTGGTTTGAATACAGGACTGTTTAGTTGGCTCCAACTTGGGGTGAACTATTGAGAAGATGATTTAAGCCTTTATCAGTTTCTTCTTTCTTCCTTAGGGCATCCGCAACCCTTTAACATAAATATCATTCATTCAATAAAAAAGTAACACTCTCTCTCAATAAAACTCTCTCATTTAAATACACATCCACATTCCTACACATTCATTTAAATACATATATGAGACTCATTATCCACTCATTCAATAATTTTATATTCTATTCTCAATAAAAAATAAAATCTAATATTTTTAAATTATAATAATAAATTTTAAATGCATGAAAATGAAAGAACACTACAAGACCAAAATTACTTAAATTAAAATTACACAAGAAAAAAAATAGTACAATTACAAAAATATTTTTTTTAGTTGTTGGCAAAATGAGGATGAAATTTGGCGGAGTTTCTAAATTATGGAAGAATGGAATTTCATCTGGATTGCTAGGATTAGAACTTGAGAAATTTTGAAAATTTTGCCTATTATTCGGATCTTTTTTTTTTAGGCAAATGAGTAATTGTTAATTTTTTTGGTGTAGGAGAAGTGTAAAAATAGGGTATATATATAGGCAAAGAATGTGGAATAGAAAATATAAATTATTAATTGGGGGATAGAAAATATAAATTATTGATACATAGTGAGAACAGTGATATAGATAAAATCTGAATTTATCAATATTGAAAAATGTGATATAAATAAAAAAATAAGTTAAATATAAAAACAAAAAAAAAAGATTGAATTAAATAATGATTTTAAAACCAAAAAACAAAATAAAAAAGCAAAATGAAGCGTTCGGTTGGCTGAACGGATGAGTGGGCCCTCCCACTTAATGGATGAGCCACATCCATCGTTAAGGCGTTTAAACGGAGCAAAAAAAATCCGCGATGCGGATGCTCTTAGTCTTTAATTATTTATTGCTTCTAGACCATGTGGTCTCCAAGTCCATGCTCAATTAGTGGGTTTTTCCTGTGTCTGTATTCTTTTGTTTATTGACTTCTATGAGTTTCCTATCGTTCCGACGAAAAAAAAAAGACTTACTGTAGTAAAATTGTCCTAGACCTAATTAGAATTGATTAGTTTTCAGAAATTCTATGGCGCCCATATGGGCACCATATGGTACCATAATCTTCACGATCTAACGCCTAATATTCATTGTGGAATTGATAGAATGGATATTAAACGTTGGATCGTAAGATTATGGCACCATATGGTGCCCATATGGGCACCATAGAATTTCTTGGGTTAGTACTTTTTAAATATTTTTAAATTAAAATATCAACAACATAAAAAAGTTTAACTAATAGACAATTTTGTTAAAAAATTATGATTTGGCGACCCCTTAATTTGTGAAATTGATAAAGGATCCATACAATTTCCCCTATGACATACTATTATTTAAATTCCAACTAAACTGCATTGTTTTTAAATTCCTATAAAAATATATTATTAGAATTATATTATTAAAGAGCAAGATAAATAAATAATATTCTTTTAAATAATTTTACGTAGCCACATGAAAATGTCCATCTAAAAGTTGCCAAAACCCGATTACGGGCCAATTCCTGTTCAAATTCGTTGGTTCATGTTCGTCATTTTGGTGAACCGAAACCATCCCAGGAAAGACTAAGGGCCGGTCTAATAAACTGACGGTCCCATTACAGAACCGCGCCCAACGGTTCAAGGTCATTTTGAAAAATAAAAAATAAAATAAAAAACTAATAAAAAAAATAACAATAATAATAAATAAAATTAATTTTTAAATTAGAATTCCAGTGCCGAACCGCCAGTTCCAGCTCTGATTCCAATTCAGGACCTGAACCGGTGGTTCAATTTTTTAAAAAGTATGAATCTGAGTTAGCCCAAGTAAAACTGAGGTCGATTCAATATTCGCGGTCAACGGTTTTAACGAAACCGGTTCGAATCGTAACTATATTTATATCTACGCGGATCTCATGGCTTTCTCACCACAATAATAGGCACGTGGTAAACCTACCCGGGTAGGTAACGTTTAATTGTTTGTCGAGAATCGAGGCCCACTACTTACTAGATAATCTTGTTCAAAATTGAAATCGCTTGAGATTGGTTCAATCAATAACCAAAAAGGACTTAGACATTGGCCAAATAAATAAAGAGACGTGTCATGATAAACACGTAATACAATATTCAATTTTAATGAGAGATGTGAAAACGATGGTGCATATATTTGTAGTTCAATACTCCCTCTATTTTGAAATATAAGGCATTTAAGGTTATTGCACAAATATTAAGGAGACATTAATTAATGAATAAATTGACTAAATTAACCTTATTTACTCTAATCACAACCACTCCACACTTCCTTAATTTCAACACAATGAGGGTATATTTGGAAAAAAATGCAAAAATTTGTCTTGATTTTTTAGCGCGCCTTATATTTCAAAAAAATTGAGAAATCTTTATACGCCTTATATTTCAAAATGGAGGGAGTAATTAATAAAGGAAATAACGATTGACTGAAATGGATCGAAAGATTATGCAAATTAAAAGAAGATGCTTTAATTTCAATATCAGCCTAAAACATGCCTATGCAAATACATTGTGACATTAGGGAGGATTTTAACGTACCCATATATGGTTTTGACAATAATACTAAGAGTCAACTGGCTCCGTAACAGAGCCAATAGTTGACTCTTTAGTATCACTGATGGTTTTAATTGTTATATCAATACATAGTTATTGTTGGGTTTATTGAAACCAATAATGTTTAGGAGATTTAAATATATTTATTAATTATATAAAAGGATAAATTAGCGGATGTCTTTTCAGTCACTATACAAACAATTAACTCAGAAAATAAAAAGGATAATTTTATAACATATATGAGTCTTAGCCTGAGTTTTGAAAAATGAGTTGACTTTTAATTCAGGTCTTTAGAGATAAATTTTATCAATTTGAGACCCAAAACATATAAACCTATCAATTATGTGCCTGAAAATTAAATTATCTATTCCCGGCTCAAATATGTTTAAACTATCTATTCCCGGCTCAAATATTTTAGACTTTGAATATGGTTAACAAATATAAGTAAAAAATAAATCGTAAATAAAAACATAAAATGATATGAAAATATGAGCAATTATTTTTATGTCATATCATTTATAAATAATATACAACTTATAAATAAAAAATATAAAAGTTATTTTACCTTTTAGAGATTTTTGTTATATATATATATACTATTGTGTGGATAGTATTAAAATACTTATTGTGCCTGAAGTCCATTAGCTATGTTAGATTATGTTTAGATCTATTTTGTAAAACCTATAAAATGGATAATACGATTAATGAAATATAGGACTTTTCTGTTCCTCTTTTATCTCATTCTCTCTACTCTAATGTGTTGCATATATTTCTTATGTTTGGTGTGGATTCAATAAACATTGAGGAATTCCATTTTACAACAATTTCAACTGATAATTTTAAATTTGATTCCTAAATTTATAAATTTTATCTTTCTAGCCCTAGATAAATAAATGATTCATCTTTCAAAGTCTTAAAATTGTATAAACTGAAGTTTTAAATGATAGTTTTAAATCTCTTTGAATTCAAATGGATAAATCTCCATTACTAATTGACAAATAAATAAATGAATAAATAAATACTAAATAATATAAAAATATATATTTATATTAAAAACTCGTGTATCACACCAAACATAAAGTCAAAAACCACGTGAAAATCTCACGATATAGTAATTTGAAATTCTTCAACAATACTGCACTACAGCTTGCCTAAAGTAATCATCTTTCACAATACTGCACTATAGCAATTTGAAATTCTTTATTCTATTCTATCTACAGCTTGCCTAAAGTAATCATCTTTAGCACTTTGAAATTCTTTATTCTATTTATGATCTTCACTGCTCTATTTACAGCTCACAGTTTCAAAAATGGGAACCGCAAATTTTGATATTATATTGTGTCATATATTGTTATATTATAAAATGATGTATTTCTACTTATATATTTAAAGATAAAAATTACGTAAATTGATAAAACTTAAAAGTATATAATAAGCTAACCATTATACTTAATTACTAACAAGGAACCTTCAAGTGTCATATACCACCGTACATATTGATAATATATATTCCTTCATCTCACGTTAGATTGATCAAAACTCTAATATCAGTCATATATTTAATGCACAAGACATTATACTCTTACTTTAAGTTTAATAATAATTTATTTTATATGATAAAAATAGTATATTTAATTTAAAGATCATGTATACAAAAGAAATAATAATAATGGAAATATATGGACTAATAAATTGAAAACAAATCAGAACTGAAGATCTGGCGCCCTACTACAAGATGTTTTTCAACAAATCATACATCATTTTGAAGTTCTCGCCTGGATCTTTCTAAAGGAATGTTTAATTTCACCATATAATGATATCTCAAATTCTTATTATATCATTGTTAAAGTTTTGAAAGACTTGAAGAACTATGCGTTAATTTTTTTTTTTAAATGTCACCGGAGATAACAATTGTTGGATTTTCATGAAACATATATGTATTGAAAACTCTTTTCATAAGGAATCCAACGGTATCTCGCGATCATCGATTCGACATAATATTAAAAAAAATACCGTAGCAATTATTAGATTTTCAGCAGCACGCTACGACAGAATGAAGAATTCAACTGGCGCTTTTTGACAACTCGATTGTACAAATTTGATGGGCGAACACTTATTTTGTTCATCTTTTAGTAGACAACAATAAATCTTAATCAATTTGATGTTTAGAGTTCATATGATCCTACAATTTGAATGAAGTGCCATCTTCTACATTTTTTGTTTTTATTTTTTGCATAATATATGAATAATTTAACATCTTTTAAAATAAAATAAAATATGGTATATAATCTTATTTTTCGTAATGATTTTAAGTAAGGGTATTTTAGTAATTAAATGAAATGCATTTTTCTGTTTTTAATTATTTGATTAGTAAAAAGTACACATATTAACATTTAAAAAGATAGAATCACTAAGATTGATCACCAAACGGCCGATCAAATTCGAGGTAAATTTGCTCGACTGGCGGTTTGCTTGGATTTGAAGAAGCTCCTATGTACTCATTTTACGATACGGGGAAAACTTCAAAGAGTTCAATATGAGATGCTCCCTGACATATGCTACAACTGTGGGATATGTGGACACGTGGCCGGTACCTGTCCTAGTAGGCCTACGGCTGCCAAGGCGGACGAGAGTGGAGGAGCCGGACCATCTAAAGCTCCATCAAGCGTCGCGTCACCGTCAAGCGATGGTGTGGCCTTCAAGGCGGCCAGCGGGGGTGCGAAAGAGGCTGAACAACATTTTGGACCATGGATGCGGGCTAATACGGGGGGTTGGCATCAAGTTAGAGGTAAGAAGGTTGCTGGAGTAAATCCCACTAATCAAAGGGAGGCTGTGAACGGAAATGGATCCAGATTTGCTGCATTATCGGAGAATCATGGGGAGGACGATTTCGCTCAAGGGGCTACTACTAATAAGGGGACAAGTTTTAATGGCAAAGACAAGGGGAAGAGTGTCTTCACTGCACCTGTGACATCTTTCCAAGCTGGACATAAGGAGGATGGAATCTTTGAGAAAAGGGCGGCTTCATTGAATGTTAAGAATGGGGGAAATAATGAATGGCGCGTAGTTGGGCCGAAGAAAGGAAAAAAAGGGAGAGTAGGCAGTGGGAAGGTAGCTGCTACTGGGGTTAATGGGCCTTGTGTTGTTTCCGCCCAAAATGGGCCTCGAAAGGAGCATGTGGAGGTCCAAAATGAAAAGAGCAGGCAAAGTCTACAAGGTGATGAGGTTGAGGCCCAAGTAACAGGGTTGGAGCGAGAAATAGTAAATGGGATGAATTTGACGAAGAATACCCAAGTGATAGTACCTGTGACCTCTGGATTGGACCCAATGCGACATCGGGCAATCAAAATCATCGAGGACCCAACCACTTCAAATCCGACTGAGGATTCAGGTGATTTACTTGATCCAGGGGATAACATGCAGATGGAGCCACCGGATATCCACAGGCCAGACCACTCGGATTTAGTCCGGGAAGGCGACGGAGATCAAATGACTGAAGATGGGACCTCGTTGTCTCAGATTCCTAGTTCTCTATGACGTGTGTCAAACCCTCCTCTTATTTGTTTATAATGAATATAATAGCTTGGAATGTTCAAGGGGCGGCCTCAGGGAAATTTTTCCGTGCCTTCTCTAATATCAAAAATCACTATTGTCCGGATGTCTTTGCTATCTTTGAGCCTCGAATAAGCTGTGTAAATGCCGATAAATTTATCCGCAAGAGTGGTTTTGACTATTCCTTCCGAGTAGAAGCTTCTGGCTTTTCGGGAGGTGTATGGATCTTATGGAAACAAAATACGCAGGTTGAAGTGTTAAAGTCTCATCGTCAATATATCCACACCCGAGCGGTGAAGAATGGAGTGGAAGTTTTTGTCACTTTTGTGTATGCTAGCCCAAACCCCACAACTCGACGATCATTATGGCCGGAACTACGACACTTAGCTACGAGAATTACTGATCCATGGCTCATCGGAGGGGACTTCAATTGCATTCTTCGACATACTGAAAAACAAGGTGGCGCTCGTAATCGCAACACTATTAGTCATGACTTTTCCGATTGGCTTTTTGATTGCGACCTTCATGAGGCCCGTACTGATGGCTTTTTATTCACATGGGAAAGAGGCGGCTTGAAGCAAAAGCTAGATCGTTTCATAGCAAATTCGGCTTGGATGAACAAATTCCCACTTGGACTAGTCCAACACCTTCCTCGCACTAGCTCTGATCATTTTCCGTTATTTGTGCGATGTATGGAACGACAAGAGCCAGCACAAAGAATTAAACCCTTCACATTCCTCGCTTCATGGCTTTTGCACAATGAGTTCCCTGACCTCGTTAGACATTCGTGGGCTGGCAGTGACTATCTCGAAGCTGCCCATTCATTCAAGCAAAAAGCGGTGGAGTGGAATTTTCATGTGTTTGGAAATATTTTCAACCGTAAGAAAAGGCTGTTAAGGAGAATTGCAGGAGCACAAAGAGAGCTACAAAAATATTCTACTCAACGCCTCATCAACCTGGAAGCTTCCCTATGTCAAGAGTTAGAGGAGGTCTCTTTGCAAGAGGAACTGCTCATGCTTCAAAAGTCTCAGAGGGATTGGACACTTTTCGGAGATAGAAACACGGCCTACTACCATCGCAAAGTGAAACACCGTCGCAACCGCAATAAAATTTTATTTCTTACCGACTCCAATGGGGTTAGAGTTGATGACCAGGAGTGGGCTCGATTAATGGCCGCAAAATACAAACTCAATCCAACAACAATGGGGGATGATTTTATCTTTCCTAAGGGATCCAGGGTGTTAAAGGCAATTGGTAAAGGGTGGTCGGCGTTGATGAAAGGGATTCGTTGGTCCCTCGGTAATGGCAATAAAGCTAGGTTCTGGCGCGACAAATGGTGTCATCTTTCGACGCCGCTGCATTTGCTTGCGACGGGACCAATCCCGGAGGATCAATGGGAGTTACCGGTGGTGAGTTTTGTGACTGACGATGGCGCTTGGAATTGGAGTTCTTTTGCGAGCCTGTTGCCGGCGAGTGTGCTACTGAGAATTTCTTCGATCTTACCTCCAAATGACCTCACTGGAGAAGATGCTATCTATTGGGGACCCTCGGAAAATGGTTGTTTCACAACGAAATCAGCTTATGCCTCGCTTGTTCCACCCGCGCCGAGGACTAACCGAGTGTTATGGAATTCGATTTGGCACTGGGTTGGCCCCCAACGCGTACGACAATTTCTATGGCTTGCAGCGCAGAATAGACTATTGACAAATATGGAGAGACATCGTCGCCATCTAACGAGCTCTCCGTGTTGCATGCTCTGCGGGCGGGACGCAGAATCCGTCCTCCACGCCTTGCGTGATTGTGAAAAAGCAGCCCAGGTTTGGAACCATTTATTACCTGATCAATATCATGGCCCTTTTTTTAACTTAAATTTGCATGAGTGGTTGATGCATAATTTAATCAACAAGATGCATGTGAATGTTGAGGGGTGGGAAACATTATTTGGTGTCACTGCTTGGAGAATATGGAGTGGCCGAAATGAGGCATTACTTGCGGATAAAGAATTTGTGGTCCCACAGAAAGTTCGAGAAGTTGACAAAATAGTTAACAACATTGATGCGGCTGTCTCGGCCGAGAGGATTTTGGGAGGATTGGGGGTAGGAAGACAAACCCGTTGGATCGCTTGGTGTGCCCCTCCAGCTGATGTGGTTAAAATCAATACAGATGGATCTTTCATTCAGTCAACAGGTATGGCATCGGCGGGAGGACTCGTGCGTGATGTCGGAGGCCACTGGCTTGGGGGATTCGTCATGAACATTGGGTATACTACTATCACTGGAGCCGAGTTATGGGGTCTATTCCAAGGACTCCAACTAGCGTGGGATTTGGGGTATCGGAATGTTGAAGCGGATGTGGACAACCTAAGTGTAGTCAAAATGGTTATGGGGTCTTCAGTTGAGAGTTGTGGGGTGCATGGTGCTATAGTTCGGGCTATTCGTGAGATGATGCATCGAGAATGGATAGTGCACATAGCGCATTGTTATCGGGAAGCAAATTTTGCTGCAGATTGCTTGGCGACTTTAGCTCACTCATGCCCTAATGGTTGCCAGAGACTCCCTCATCCACCAATAGAAGTTAAGCCGTGGTTAACGCACGACGTTTTTGGCGTTGCTTACCCACGGAACATCACTATCTAGCGGTGCTAGGCTTCGGCCTCCTTTCTTTGTACCAAAAAAAAAAAAAGATAGAATCACCCAACTAAAAATACCAAAATATACTTTGAAAGGGTGACTGTTGCATAATGTTAACAAGTATACTTATTGGGAGATCTTTTGCTATTAATTAATTACAGGCGTGTGAATGAAGAAGTCAGAAGCTAGTCACTGCCAAAACTGTAAATTTTAATTGACTTTGTTTTTCTTAATTTTCCCCCTTCATTTGAATATTTATTATAACTAGTAAAGTGAAGAGTATTAGTGTATTTATAATTTGCCATTAAAATTAAGTTAAAGTAAGGATTTTTTAGGTAGTTCATTTGTTAATTAAAAATATAAAATAAGATGAGTATTACTGTATTACTAATTTACCATTAAAAATGTGTCAAAGTAAGGGTTTTTTAGGCAGATCATCATTTGTTAATTAAAAATATAAAATAAGACGGGTATTACTGAATTACTAATTTGCCATTAAATATATTTCAAAGTAAGGATTTTTTAGATAAATAATTATTTTTACAAAATCAATTATCCTTTTATAATAGTATAGATAAATAGATATGGGAAAATGCTATAATCCGGGGACCATTCCCCTATTTTGAACTTCAATAAGAAACTGCCACGTCACCTATGATTGTTATTTGTTTACATCTAGGGGTCTATATCCAAACTAAAAGATCTGATGGCTTGTATTTGATTTGAGGGAACCATTAGCATTCCCCATTAATATGATAGAACTTTGAATATGGGTGTATCTACTTCTAGGCCATCAGACTGAACTGTACTCTGTAGTTTTCCCCATAACGTCCAATTAAAAGCTACACCTACTCCACTTGCCAAAAGTGAGACTGAAAAAGTGAAAAAGATAGAATTTTGAATATGGGTGTTTCTACTTCCTATTCTTGTAGTGTTTGTACTCTGTGTTTCATTTGATTTGGATAGATAATATTAACACGATTGCGTTCATCAAGGAAACTTAAACACCAAATCAAATACAAAAGTGAGATTTTTATTCCAATGCTCCCACAAAACATCCTTAGTTCCCATTAATTAATCAGCAGAATCGTACTCCCTTTATTTCCAAATTCAAGAAGATACAGCAAGCGAGCAGTAAAACTAATTTACTGCTCCAATAATATATCACACAATAATGCATGAAAAATCACAGGTAGTCTCAAAAGAAGGATCCCCGCATCAGAAATCCCCCAGTCAAGAGAAACAAACAATCTTATTCAGGAACACCACACTTAAAAGCAAAACAAAGACAAACCAGGAAGACAAATCGACAGATACCAGAACCGACAAACTCTCAGCCTTAGGCCGCTGATTTAGGCGCCTCGACGATCTTGATCCCACCAATGGTGACCCCCGGCCCCTGGTGCCTCGGCACCAACGTGACAACCACCGTGTCATCATCCTCGATGTCCATGTCCTCGTACAAGTCGGTGAGCCTCAGCTGGATGGAAGTCGTGGCCGTGCGATTCAAAGTCTTGTGCGGGACCTGCGCGTACGTCCCCGCGTAGGCCGCCTTGTCCAGCTCCGACGGGTTGTCATCCTCGTCGTTCACAAACACGTCGAATTTCAAGAACTTGGTTGTGTCCACAGTGATGTCTTCCAGCACGAGCACCTCGTCCGCCTTCCCTTTCTTCGTCTTGTCCACCTGGAACCTCACCACCCCTTCCAATTTGAGCGGGAACAGCGTCCCCGCCTTGGGGGCCGTCGACGCCGTCCTCGTGATCTTGGCCTTGGCCGTCTGCCGCGGCGGCCTGTAGTCGAGCCACGGCAGGTCGATCCGCTCGAAGTCGTACCCCATCCTGAGGTTGTCGATGCAGTCCTTCACGTACACCCTCACGAGCTGCGCGTTCTCGTCGTAGAACAAGAAGGAGGCGTTGAGGAAGTCGGGGTCGGTGATCCTCTTGTCGGGGACCTTGCTGCTTGGGAGGAAGTACTGCCACAGGGTCCACATGCGGTCGACGTTGGCGTGGTGGCAGTAGAAGAGCGGGTCCCGCCCGGCCGAGTAGAAGTTGCCGAGGTCCTCCCCGCTCGGCTGCCGCGGATCCCCCATGACGACGTGGATGGCCGTGTGGGAGCCACGCTCGGACGTGCCGGGCCCCGGGTTGACCGCGGTCCCCTCGCGGTACGGCTTCCCCATGAAGTCGTACACGTCGACGGGGGAACGGACCATCTCGCTGTACATGATTGTGAGATTGTTGGCCACCACTTGGAGAGGATCCTTGTTCTTGGTGAAGCCCAGGTCGACGACCGTCTTGATGTTGTCCTGGTTGCGCTTGTCGTCGTAGAGGGCGGACTTGGGGTCGAGGAACATGGGCGGCGGGGTCATGCCTTTGGGGTTGTCCCAGTTCCAGAAGGGCAGGGCGAAGGTGGGGTCGCCGATCAATTTACCGAGGATGCGCTCGTAGAAGTAGAGGTACCAGCGGTGGAAGGGGAAGAAGAGCCAGGAGTTGTGGACCTGGAGGTCGAGGGTGCCCTGCCCCGGCTGGTCGTAGGCGCCGTTGCAGTAGGCGCAGTGAATGTTGGCCTGCTGCATGAAGCTGCGGGGGTCGTCCGCGGGGAGGCGGCGCATGCGGTCGAGGGCCATGTTGTACTTGAAGACCTGCTCGGGGGAAACGCGGTGCGCGGAGGGGCGGACCCTCATATTGAAGACGGGGGGAAGGCGGTAGTCGATGATGCGGTCCGAGGTTGGGGGGCAGCAGTTGATGTCGAGCTGCTTGCCCGTGTTGAGGTCGGTGGCCACCCCGCACTTGTCGAGCTGCGGGGCCTGGACGGGGTTGGCGGACGCGGGCTGGGGGGAGAGGGTGCTGGCGCCGTAGAGGCCGCCGAGACCCAGGAGGACGTTGCGGCGGTCGATGGTGTTGTTGTCGTCGGAGGAGCAGGAAATAGTGTGGGGGATGCGGTGGGCGCGCTTGGTGCGTGGGAGGAAATGGGAGGGCTTGGGGAAGAGGAGGCCGCGGGGTTTGGCAGAGGAGGGGGTGGCGGAGGCGGAGGTAGGGGAGGGAGAGTAGTGGAGGGAAGCCATGTTTATTTGGTGGCTGAGTTGGGAGTGAGTTTTAACGTAGGATGATTGTTTATTTATAGTTGAAAGAAGAGGGATCTAAATCGGGGCAATATAATAATATTTGTGAAACATTATGGGGACATTGTGCATTATAGGTAAGATGAGGGTGCACATGCAGAATTGCGTAATTATTTCTTTGATTTGTTTATTAAATTTTGCTTTCATTATTTATTA